CAATGAGTCAAAAGCCCCCACCCATTCTGAGACCAGGGATGTCTGCTCTGGGGCATGGGACAAGGGCTTGGATGGTTGCTCCAGTCCCTTCCCTGACTGGGTTGGGAGCAGCTGCTTCTTGCCCACCCGCCCACACCCCACATCAGGGTCCTTGGTCGAGGGAGTGGGTCGGGGGTTTTGCCCTGCTGCTCCAGTCTCCTTCTGCATAGGTCCAGGAGGGGCCTGGAGCAGCCCCAGAAGCTCCCTGCTCACTCCCCAGACTGAAAAGTCTCAGTCTAGGGAATGGGGGGAAGGGGGGGCTGCCCCATTGCACTATTCCCCTCCTAATTCATTCTCCCCATGATTTTCAGAGCCCATTATTACCCTGGTTTGAGGAAGGTGTGTGGAGAGTGAAGTTAATGGGACAGGTACAGGCTGAATGCCTGTACTGCTTCCTCTGCTGGAAGATTTTGCAGAAATTTCCACCAGTAGAAATGAATGTTCATTTGAGGCCAAAGGATTTTAGCAAGGGAATAACAGATACAGTCATCGTAACTTCACTAATTTAAGCCAGAGGTTAATTTTACAAAATCCTTGTATTTGGGGGACTGTAGTTTTACCAGTATGCTGCTAGTCAGAATTTGCTGGGTGAATGATTCACAGTTAATAATTTATTCAACAAACATTTCTCTTTCTGTTCATGAATTGTCCACATTGAACACTCAGATAGTTTTTAGGGCCACAGAGTAAATTCCCACAAGAAAGAACTTGAGAACAAATGAGATCAAAAAAATAAATTAGATATCAGGGAATTGTAGAAGTTCAGGTATTTTCCTTATATTCACTTAATGTTATTAAAGTACTAGTTATGAGACATTTCTTATTTCACAGTGGGATAGCAGGCATATTTGACAGGGGTTCAGTATCCATATGAAGTATAGATCAGTTCTTGGATGCTAGAATAATTCCAGTAGTGAAGGGATACCCTTTAGCTAACTGAGGGAGGAGGGGGGAAAGAAAAAAATTGCTGAGGCTGAATTTAACAAAATCAGACTTGCCCAAAGACTTGCAGGCGCTCACTGAGTGGTTTTTTAATGCTGCAGGTGACATTGTTGCTGACTGAAGAATGTTCAAATCAGAAAACTGCTGATAACCTGACTTTCCTAAAAAGGAATCTCAAGAACTTCTATAAATCTCTGCTTTCCGTTATATGCTGTAGGATGAGGTAGAGAACTTATGACAGATATCATTTGGGTTCAGTTTGGCTTTATTAGAGTAATGGAAAGTATGGCATTTCAATGGAGAAATCCCAAATCATGCCCCGTATTATGCCCCTGTAGGAAATGAACCTCTAAGTACCAAAAAAAGTGTATATCCTTTGTTTAGGGTACGTGCACCCCATAAAGTCTTAGTATCACTAAGAAATCTATGCCTCTTACATAATTTCTGGACCACCACAGCTACAGCCTCACTCTTACATTACTTTAGTAATCGCTATCTTTTGAAGCACTCATATATATTTTTTCCTGTATATAGATAATTATTCCTCTGTGTGTGTGTGTGTGTGTGTGTGTGTATATATATATATATATATAAAACACATATAATATCTGGATAATTTCAGATATATTTATAAATTCAAGTTTCTAAAGCAATCCTTTCTCACACTAAGAACACACTCCTACTGAATTCAGTTAAATCTGGGAAGCAGTGATGAAACATGACCAATAACTTATAACAGATTTGATTTGTTTATAGTCTAATGTAGGGCTGTCCAACTTCGGTGCAGTGGGGGCTGCTAGTGGTGCTGGCATGCAGCCTCCGGACCTTACATCACATGAGACACGTGCCCTTTCCTGCTATGTAGGCTATGCCAGTGGCACACAACCCTCAACCTTCATGGGTGGCATGCAGCTCCCTGGGCTCCACTAGTGGCATGTGGCTCCCTGGTCACATGGGCTGCACCAACGGCATGCATTCCTCCAGGCCTTCCATGGCCATGTGACAGCAAGAAAGGCAGTCACTGTGGCCCTTTAGTTACATGTTAAGTGCTTACTAATTACCCATGAGTCCACAGAACTTTATAAAAATCTTTATGATTTTCTCTATTGCTTTTGAAAACTACTCTTAGGATGTTTAAATTCAGTTAATGAAGATATGACTAAAAGAGTGGCACTGTGTCTAACGTAAGGCTTACCAGAAATGAAGCTGAAATTTGCAATAGTTTTTATTCATTTCAATTGGAAACTAAATATGGGTGAGTTTTCCAAAGGAAGTTTAAGCTTGACCTGATTCCCTGTTGATATAGGCCACAAATCTAGTGTCTTAGAAACTGTAGAGGGTTCTTCTCTGAGAACACACCTCAAATGAATCCATCACCAACAATGTGATTTTTGATTTTTTTTTCCACTGCTAACCTTGTATATCAGCAAAAAATCTAAGTTCATTATCAAGTCAGAGGCCTGTCTCTGAATGCATGTGTGAAACCTTCAGTGTTCCTAGTGCTTGCACAATGATTATAATGATTGGGCAGGGTTTTAACCTATATCTTGAACTGGCAAGTACTTTTTTATCCTTGGGGATCACAGTATATATTTTTTTCCTTCCCACAACCCTTTCCTTCACTTTCCAATCTATTTCTCTAGACTTTCAATCTTTTCCTTATTCCTGTCTGCTAAGTGGTAATTGGTTCCAAGTGGTTCTAGTCCATCCATCAGCTCATAAGACATCAAGGGCAGAAGTCCCCTTTACAATATGCTCAAGTCCAGAGGAAAAGGTGAGATGCTTAAAGCCCATATAATTTTTTAAGCATAACTTTAATATTATGCACTATGGAGGGCTGATATTTGATGCATCATTTGACATAATCTGCATGAGAGAAAATTACCTTAAAAAAATCCCACATCATTGAGCTATATGCTTTGTTATATGTAAAAAATTAATTAGGACTGGAGTTCTGTATGAGAGAATTTCTATGATGCAGACAATGTGCAGTATATAAGCTTCAGATTTGTAGAATACTGAAGTTAGAAAAAAGATAAATTGAATTAATTTATTCTGAATTTACACACATGCCTCTGCTTGCATTAATATTAAGTCCCATCCAAAATCTAAATAGAACGACCACAATCCTAGAAGTTCTCTCAATAGCATCAGCAAATCATTCTTGTTTAACCTACATGCTAATAAAACAGGAACATGACACTCCTGAAAACTAGACTGCAAAATACAGAAAATGTGGTCTGACATTTTTTTTCTCCCCAAAGGAGGGACTGCCACTAACTAAAGTATTTCTTATGAAAGCTCGATTGCTTAAGATGCAGAATATTAAGAGAGAAAAACACTTTAGGACACAGCCATGTCACCAGCTGTTACTCACTCCTAATGAAATTGTTAAGTGATATTCTTCATAAATAGGTCAGAGAAACTTTTGAATTGTGAAGAATGTTTTATCTTTTTCTCTGAAATGTTTGCATTAAATTTAGAACTGGTAATTCATTAAGCTCATTACCTCTGACTCATAGAGTGGAGCAATATCTAGGATATAGATTTCAAAGCTTAAAAATGTTAGTGCCTACAAATGAAAGCATTTTATGCAGAAAAATATGAAATCATAATATGTTTAGCTATATTTGAGGGCAGGTTGCTAGATTAATTAAGAACATTTGTAGATTTAGGCATTTAAACTTAACCTGAATATGTTATAGGGGTTTTTTGTTTGTTTGTTTGAGTTTTAACTGGGTTTTAGCAGAAGAAGAAAAGAATATGTTATGGGAAGAGTATGGTGAAGGAAGATTAAATCAGTTTTTTTTATCTGAGAATACTTGTAATTAAGTGAAAACCACTCAGTTCTTGTTTGCAAGTGAAACCATAAATTCTCCCCCTCACCACCCCTTTTTTGACACTCAATTGAAACACACCCAACTTTTGTTAAATGGCTTTGCATATATTTGGATAACCTGCTCCACATTTCAGGTTTGTTGGAAACTTGAACGCCAGTCATTTTGACAAGGTTAATTGCAGAAGTTCTATACATCTCTAATATATCTTATTAGGTTTATGTACAATGCTTCTGTGAAATACAGTTTTGTAGACTTTCTTCTTGAAAAGAAAGGATTGAAAGAAATTAAATCTCAGTCCTTGGGAATGGCAGCAAAATCAGGGCTGAAATATTTTTTTAGCCTTTTAGCCACAGAAGTTGAAGGAAAGTCATTAGAGAAAATAGAACATATTGGGCATCTTCACACGTGCTTCGGGGTTGGGGCAGGGGAGTGCTTTAATTAGAGTGGCTCTGAGAGCCAATCTAATTGAAGTGCCCACAGCATCATGTGTATTCAGTGTCCTGCACTTCAGAATGGCAGTGGGGACACTTTAAATAAAGCTTCTTTGACAAGCTTTAGTTAAAAAGCACCCCTGCCACCATTTTGAAACATGGGAACTCTGACAGAGGCTGCTGGAACATGCTAAATAGCACACATTGGAGCAGACATCCAGCACATGTATAGGTGCCTATCAACAGTAGTAAGAGTTTTGTTCCTAATTCTGTTCTGGCTACCAGCCCTGTCACTGATTTACTATAGGGCTTTACAATAATAATTAGCTTCCCTTTGCTTCAGTTTCCATGTCTTTGAAACGGGGAGAACAAGAAAGTACTTTGAGATCCTTGAAATATACTAGGTAAATCCAAAGTGATTATTTTCCACTGGTTGATCACCGCAGTTGCAATACAATCATTAGGGCTAGGAAGAATCCTGATGACTGAAGTACGCTTAAATTGGAGCTCCTTTGACTATACTAGCTAAGCATTTAAATTATAGATGACTCAAATAAACAGCAGTTGTGATGAAATAAAGTAGTAGGACAAACCACATTTTCAGTGGAAATCAGCTTTTCAAAATGATACGTTATTACTATATATGCCTTGTCAACAGATCATTCAGTCTATCATTACATGTAAACCTTTGTTTGACTTGCTGTAATAGATTAAACTGATCCTAGATTATAAATTGGTATATTTTCAGATATCCCGTCATAGAAGGAATCACTCTCAGCATAATTTAATACTCACAGACATCATTAGTTCCCAGGAACAAACGGTAAGCAACTATTCTACAGATGATGGGTATGTTGAGTTTGTACTTCAAATGTTTTTAACAGCAATTTAATATATGGTTTATTAAAAAATAAATACTTGAAGCTGCAGTTGCTCCCATATATGAAGAGGATAAGAAAAGTAATAATTGGAGTAAAGTCTACTATTCAAACTAATTATTATTAAACTAATAATTTAAGAAATGACAAAATGTTTTGGTTATGGATATACAATTTCATTTCACTGTTAAACTGGAGGCATTAGGCTGACAACAGACTTAGAGTGATATTTCAGCAACACTAGTAGATGGATGTTAATTATATGATTTCTTACTAGAAATTACTATTTAGGATTAGGAAAATAACCACAACTAAGGGAATATACCAGGTGTAGATTTGCTTTTTAGTGTTTGATATTTTGTGCAGAGGGAAAATATATTGAAAGAATTAAGCCCAAGAATGAAGTCTGTATTTCTGCCTTTTCCATGCGAATATGTTTTTAACCTCAAATTTTGTATATAAAAAGTTACTTTGAAATTAATCATAATTGTGCTGAAAGGAAAATATTCTGTTCTTTTTTAAAAGAAGGGTAATATGGAAATACAGAATCATCAAGATAAGAGAAAATTCAAGGATATTTTTGCCTAAATTAAGTCTTCAGTACTCGTATATCCTTCAGTACAGGAAACATATAGAACACATAACTGATGTAGTATAAAGCATATTTTCTCTTGCTGTTTTGCTGTCATTGTCACTGTCATATATTCACACATTCTAAGGGAGCACATATATAACACATAAATGTATGTAATATTTTCTCTTAACAGAAAAATAAAAACACAGATTCTCATATCAGATTGAGGTTTATTTGTCTGCTAATTCTTTCAGGGTATTTTGGTTATTCTCTCAACCCTTCCTCAGCTGGAACAGTGCAGGAAGGGAAACAACTCAAAAACAGATTATGGATATTTATTGAAGCAGAAAGAATAGAGTACTGTAAGGACATTTTATGTTTTTGTAACCTCATGTCATCCATCTGGGAAGGACTGAGAGAACAATCTGAATTATCCGGGAAGGATTTCCATGAAAACACACAAACAAGAAAAGGGACATTAACAGATGTAGGAGAGAGATGTATGTGCTGCTCCTTACAGTACTTCTGGATATAAAGATGTAGCAGACACCTTTGAAACCTTTTTCATTTGCCTTTGTGATATTGCTGCAATATTACCTCGGTACTCCCTATACTAATTAGGGAGACTCTTACTAATACTGAAATACCATTATTCAGTGATTAACATGAACACTGTAACATTATTAAAGGCAGTCACAGTATTTCATCATTAAGAATAATATAAAAGCAACTACCATGTATAGAAGTAAGAAGGATTTCTAATGCCAACATCAACCATCAGAGGGTAATACTAGTTCAGAACAGGACATCTAAGGTTAAACAAGAGAAGACTCTGAACTGCTAAATTTGTACCTAATCTCTAGATCCTTCAAACTTTCGTGTTATAATAACTTTATATTCTAGTTCAGGATTGTTATAGATTGATCTGAAAAGCAACATTCTAATGTGAAAATGAATCTAGTTGTTAAACCTCCCAGATTTCAGGATGGTGTTGAAATACAGGTTTGTCTTTGTTACCTTATTCAAACAAAAATAATCAAGATGTAGGTATGGGTAAACCTCAAAAGGATCAGAATTTGGGTCTGGTTCAGAGAAGCAATCAACAGCTTGAATGGTTAGCCAAAGCTCCTCCTGACTTCTGCTTCCAGATGGATGAAAATATTGGGAAAATAACCTTTCTCATATGGCATTTGGCACCCCTGGCGCTGGCCAAAAACCAGAAACACAAAGCCAAAAAAATAAGGGTGAGACAGGAGGAAAAACTGTCCCAAGGTTTGTTATAAGTCTGATTCGAAAAGTAGGAGGAGAAATGGGTTAGTTCTTATTTTATCTGAAATTGTTCTACCACTCCTCAGTAGATGGGGCAGTGATGTGCCTTTCTACAACAATTTCTGTGTTCTTAAATGTCTCTTTATTTTCAATATTAGTAAAGTTATAACCCATTTGAGGTAAACCACATGCCGTGCACATGCGCCTGTGTGCTGCACTGCCAACTTGCAGCGCGGCAGGATTTTCTTGACCCTGGAAGATCCTCGTGTCAAAAAAATACCGCCACTTTAAAAAGTGGCACAGCGCACACAGCAGCAGCATGCACTGCCAGGAATGGAGCCTGGCCAGCCAGAGCCACACACAAATATGTGCCCCTGCTATTTGTTCTGCAAGAAATGCATGCCCTTGCATGTGCTCAGTTGTCGGGACATGCCCTCAGTGGCCATGTCCAGATAAATGTGGACATTTGGTTCCCCGGGGACAAGTAGCAGCGGTGCACACTGCACCACCACTACTTGTCCCTGGGGAACACCTGTGCCATGTGTGCTTTAGCACGCGGCAAGTTACCCCAGTTGGGGTAGGGGAGGCTGGGGCCAGCACTGGGCTGGACCCAGCAGCCTTACCTGGAGTCCTGGAGGCCTTCCAGGGCTTCAGCAGTGGTGATTCTGCCACGTGGAGCCTGGCTGGCAGCTGGTGCATGGCTCTGGGTGGCCTGGCTCCACTTTTGAGCGTTGCGTACTGCCTGCGTGTGTGCTGCTCTCCTTTTTTTTCCCTGTGGTTTTTTTTTACCCCTGGATACCCAAGGAATCAAAAAGCCCACAGAAAAAAAAAAAGTGAAGCAGCACACACACAGGCAATATGCCCTTGCAGCACGGAGAACATCTAATTGTGTGGTATGTGGCACCACAGATGTGTTTGTGGTACCACATACCGAACGGCCATGCTCATCTGGATGCAGCCAGTGTTGTTCTGCACATACAGATCCAATTTGATCCACCCCTAGGTAACAAAATCTGATGGGATTACAAAGCAAGATGGTTTAACTGAGAGCAAAAATAGAATGCTCCTTTATATACATGAAAACAGCAGGGAAGATTTTGAATCACCAGCATCATCTGGCTATAAAGCTGTTGTTACTAGTGAGAATCTCTCCAGCACAAGGGTGATCTAGTAGTGCCATTAATTTAACATGAGACCTCTTAAGCAAGGAACTTCTTTGCCATGAAGAATATGGGTATGTTGGTAGGTGTTCAAAGAAAAAAATCAAGCCTGAGAGGCTCCCTGGCTATGACAATCATCTGCTAAAATGTTGCCCCTTCTGTTGTAGTCTAGTCTTCTCTCATACAGTGGCGATGTGTAGGGGATGCTATTGGTGCACCCCCTGACAGGCAGCACTCCCCACTTAGGTGACAGATTGGGGGGCAGGCAGAAGCGCCGGTACCCCCCCCTGCAAGCACTGGCCAGGAAGTGGGGGGCGCCAGGTGAAGCACCGCTGGCACTTTTGGGAGTACCCCTGACACTTCTGGGAGCACCACCAGCACTTCCTGGTTGGCATGATTGGCTGCGGGGGGGGACTCCCCCTGGTCAGTGAGATTGGGTTCCCCCCGTTGCTGACTGGCCACTGGGGGGGGGGGCATGTGCCCCCCCCACCCCTGACTCGGGTGGCACCAGTCGCCCATGTTCTCATATACCCTACTGTGATCTTTATGATCAACCAGGAGCTACCTGTAGTAAGTTGTTCTTGAATGCTCCTCACTTTTGGAATCCGTGCTCCCTGAGGCCTGCCAGCATTGGAGTCTGGATATCTTCTGTAAGACCTTCCTATTTGATAGGCAACAAGCCATCCAGGCTAGGCCTGTATACTCTTTATAGGCTTTTGTTTCATATTCTATTCTATTTGATTTCATATTTTATTTTTATTTTTTAATGCAAACTGCCCTGAGCTTTGTTGGGAAAGGCAGGATATAAATCCAGCAAATAACCAAATAAACAGGAGCAACTATTAGTTTTCTCTTACACAGGGGAAAATGGCTTGTGCAAAATAGCATCTGGATTAGAGATCTACATAGGTAGTTTGAAATCACTTCTGACTATGCTCTGAGGAGGTTGGCCATGCCAGAGATTCTGGGCCAATTATGAAAAATACTCAAAACACGATTTTCCCTTTGTAATTCTAACACATGTTTAGTAGACATGCAACCTTCTTGTTTTGATTATGTTTTGTATCCCTGGTGCATGTTAGTTCCTGTATAAAATTTAAGCGATAATTCTGGCTGTGCACGAACATATGCAAGTCCCACTGAAGTGTGACTTTTTAAGGACTGTAAAAGGTGAGAGAAGATGAGAGCCTTGGTATTATACATTATCTGAAAGACAGGACCACTAAAAGCATTATGCCTCCCAGTGCCTTGATTTAGTAGTGACCCAGAGGGAAAAGTGGCACCTTGGAAGCATGACACTTTTCTTGCTGCACCTGCATTAGATATTCCTTGAAGGCATGGCATTCATGCACTTAACTTTTCGTTAGCATATAAGTAGGGGTCTACTCAACTTGAGGACATGGCCATCCAATTTCACTGGCGGATTGCAGGATCAGCCGCCATTTTTGAGGACTTATCCTGGCGGTCCCCCTGCATGCCTCTGATTGGCTGAGTAGCCCCAATGGCCCCACCCCCTGTCATTGATGGGTGGAAAGGGCTTTCTGTTTTATAGCATTGCCCCTCGCCACTGATGGCTGAGAGGGCTGTCCATCATGCTGCCCCACCCCTTGCTGCTAATTGGTGGAGAGGGCCTGGTCTGCATGACAGGAAGCTCTCTCAGCCAAGCTGTGGTGAAGGGCTGGGAGAGCCCTTCATGCCATCAGCCCCTCTCACCTTTTTCCCTCCAGCAAGCCGCAGCCACTAGGGAGCCAGAATTTGATTTTTAGTTATCTTTTTTTTCCATCTGTGGATTTCATGGAGATCACCCATTTTCTCAATTTCCATTAAATCCATGCAATTGGCAATTTCGGTAGGATCCTATGTATAAGTGCTAGCACATTCAGATCAGTGATTGGTAATCTAGCTTGGGGTGGCCAACCTGTAGCACAAGCACCGTAAGTGAGAAGGTACTTATGGTATGTATGTGGCATGCAGGGAGGTCAAGGAAGGGTCAGACAGCACAGCAGCAGATAGGGCAGGAAACAGAAAGCAGAGCAGGAGATGGGGCAGGGAGCAGAAAGATGTGTTGATGTGGCACAGTATAGGAAGCAGAAAGCAGAGCAGCAGATTGGGCTGAGGAAGGGGATTAGAGTGGCAATCCAGAAGGTTGTGGGTCTATTTTGTGGTATGCCTGTCAAAAAGGTTGGCTCCCACTGTTCTAGATGATAAATTATGCAATTCTTTTAGAAGTTGAATGTAATTTAAGAAGGATTAGTAACAAATAAAATAAGGTTAACTGTTTTAAAACTTACAACAAGACACACTAATTTATCTGCATTTCATTACCTCAACAAACTTAATATACATATCTTTTCTTCCCAGTTATGATCGCACTGTTGATTGATATTAGAGGTGGCTTGCAAATTTTTTGCAAAGAAAAATTCCGGCTATTATAGACACCATAAAAAGCTAAAAAAAGAATTACTGATAAAATGCTATTACATTAAATATTTCTAAATGCAGACTCTTGTAGCATGTACTATTTAAATCATGTTAGTAAATGATCCAGGTAATATATATACACATATTCTTTCTTGCAGGTAGTGGAAAAAGAAGGATATCTTCTAAAAGCTAAAATTGCAGATGGTGGCAAAAAATTAAGGTATTGTGTGTACATTTTAAAGAACCCCTCAAAAGGTCATAAAGTTCAGTCGTCATTCAAAAGGATTTGACTATGTTTACAAGCTAATGTTTGTCCAAATGCAACATACAGGTGCACTATTCTGCCCAGGTGCTCTCTCAGCTTTAATATTCTGCTTTAGCTTACTGCAGTTGAGGGCCCTAGAATGCAAATGGCATGAACTATCAGGTCACATTGTATGCCGTAACCCTGGGTCATTAAAATGAAAATAGATTGAATTCAGCTCCATTGCACACAAGTTAGGTTCAGTGCTTAGGCTTTAGGAAAACTGATAATGCAACTTTCCACCTCACAAGACTTAGGCACAACAAGAGCGGACTTTAGGAGTATGATGTAGGGCCCAATGTCATTGCTACTGCCCTGCAGGCACCCAACTAGGATATCAAAAACTATGAGAGATTATTTAGTCCTGTTTATTTTGAAGATAATAGTTTACTGTGCACACATCTACACATGTGCATGCTTACTGCGCAGTAAAAACTGCTAATCATGAGTTAATTTGATACCTGGAAATACAGGTATCAAATTTATGTGCGATTAGTTACTGCACAGCAACACACATGTAGACATGACCCAAGAGCAAGTTTGCCCTGTGACTGGGGGGCTGTCCTGGACTCTGGGCTGGGAGCCTCTTCTGCCCTAGGGCTGGATTGCCTCGATTATAGCCCCTTCCTCGGGCCTTTAAAAGCCTACAGGCACTCAGAGCCCTGGGGCACACGAGCAGGGAGCCTGAGGCCACTCCAGGCCCCTGGGTTCCACTGAGCAGGCTGCAGGTCAGCTGCCCTAGCCTGCCTGCATCCTGGTGCCGCTGCCTGGAACTGCGCAGCTGCCAGACCCATGTTTCTCTAAGTCTGCAGGATGCTGCAGGCTCCAGCCAGGCCTGCCAGCCCCCAGGCCCAGCTGCACTTGCCTGAAGCCCAACCCCAGTAGCCTGCCCTGAGCTCACAAGTGCTGCAGGGCATTGCTTCTGCCACGCAGCTGCCAATCCCATGCCAAGCCTCTGCACTGGGTGCTGAAGGCAGCTGTCCAGGCCCAGCAGAACAGAAACAGCTGCACAGGGGCCCAGAGAGCTGGTGCGGGACCCACAATGGCATTCTCCTTGTCCGCAGCCCTGCCCAGACCTGTGGCCACCACCCAGGGCCCCAGCTGGTCTTAGGAGGAGACTGGCAAACTCATGGCGCTGTGGAGCAAAGTAGAGGTGCAGCACCAGTTTGAGCGGAGTGGGCGCTCCAACACCCACATCTATGAGGGCTGTCAGCACATATGCGGGAGTGTGGGCATGACCAGTCAGCATGGCAGTGCCGCATAAAGATCAAGGCCTTCCAGGCACAGTGGGTTTCCATCACCTACCACAATCATCATTTGGGGAGTGCCTGCAACACCGTGCCCTTTATGTGGCAACTGACAGACATACTTGCACCTAGGGAACCAGGCTGCAGCCGTGCTGTCTATAGCAGCATGGGCAGCCTGCCGGAGCCCCTGCCCTAACCCTGCCTGCCCTCTGGCAGCCACCTGCCACGCAGCAGCAGGCCTCCACCTGGGCCTGGGAAGAGGTTTTGTGCCACCTCCAGCAGCCAGAAGCTCCTGGCCTGGACCCCACCACAGGTCCAGCACCGCCAGTCCTGCTGCTTGCCCTGGCTCCATATGGGTGCAGAGCTGGAGCTGCCTGAAGCTACTCCAGGACTGCACACCAGCCCTGCTGACCCTGGACACTTGCTGCTGAACAGGGAGCCCTCCACACCGGGACTGCACCAGCTGCCATTGTCCCTAGGTGAGCCCCCTGACAACTGCACTCACCATGGCATGTGCATTCACAGGGGATCGACCAGAGGCTGTGGTGCTAGCTGCCTGTCCCCGGGCTCTGCCCCCCAGTTTTCCCACCCCACAGCCCCCCACTCCAGGATAGCACACAAAGGATATTGAACAAAATTTTCATGGGGAAGAAGGTGTTTTATTGTTGATGGGTGGGGTGGATGGTGGAGGGGTTCTGTTTGTTGAGGGTGGGGGGGTCTGTTTGATGTAAAGGGAATAAAAGCTTGTTCTTGTGAGATGTATCTGCACTGTGTGTGGTGCTGGGGTTGGGCAGGGAGGGTGAGGGGTCCATGGGTGGCAGTGCAGGTGGATTAGAGTGGGCAGTACTGGAGGAGGTAATCAACTAGCACCTCCCACACCCAGTGCCCTGGCCTCCTGCTGGGAGGTGCATGGCTCTCCTGGCGCCTTGGTGGAGGAAGTCACTGCTGCTGTTGCAGATGGTACTCCTGCTGCCAGGGGTCTTCCATTTACCATGCCTCCTCCGTTCAGGCCTCACGGAAGAGCTCCCCCAGGCCTCCCTGATGTTATGCAGCATAGTGCAACTATGACTCGGGGGAAGTTGTCCTTGGTGAACTCAAGGTGGGCGGTAAGGATGTGCCAGTGGCCCTAGAAGTGGTTGAAGTAGGCCTAGCAGGGGTCCAGGTGGCTGATGTAGGGCTGCATGAGCCAGGGGAGGAGCAGGCAGGTGGGATCCCTGATAAGCAGCGGCAGGACAGGCATGGCATTCAGCTGCAGGTCTGGCAACCCCAGCATGAAGCGCCCACTCTTTACCAGGCCCAGCAGGCTGGAGTTCCATAACATGTGAGCATCGTGAATGCTGCCCACGCAGTCAGTGCTCACATGTATGAAAGCCCTGCGGTGGTCCATGATGGCCTGGAGTACCACAGAGTGAAAGCCCCTTTGACTGTAGTAGGGGTGGTCTCTGTGGGGCGGGCAGGCAATGTGGATGTGGGTTCTGTCAAGGGCTCCAATGCACTGGGGGAATCTCAGGGCACAGAACCCCGCCACCACCACCAGGGGATCATGCATATGAAGCACAGTGTCCCCAGCACATCCTAGAGAGTGCCACACACCTCCAGAATGGCCTCCACAGTGGCCTTGCACACACCAAACAGGTGGCCAATGTACTGAGGCTGATGGGCATGGCCAGCTTCATCAGGATGAGGGCCAGCTGGGTGTCTGCAGGGAGGGGCAGCCACATGCCAGTGTGATGCCATTCCAGATGAGACCGAAGCTGCTCCAGGAGGTCCCAGAAGGTAGCCTAGATCATGCAGAAGGCCTTCAGCCACTGCTCATCATCCCAGGAATTTTGGACGATGTGCCAGCACCAGTCCTGGCTAGCCCAGTGGGCCCAGAGGCAGTGGGGCTGGAGGCCCAGGAGGGTGATGGCAGCCCCAGTGGTGGCATTCTAAAGCCTGTTGTCAGCACCCCTGTTGGGGTCCAGCCAAGTGGATGGAGTCAAGGTGACAGGTGCATGGCAGCGGCCCTGGGACTGTGCAGTGGCTTGGAGGATGGTTGCTGCATGTGGGGGAGCTGGAAGGAGCGAGATGGACGTGGTCCAGGCAGCGGTCAACACAGTGGGCTAGCACGTCCACTGCAGCAGCCAGCAGGCACCCAGGGTGCTGGTCATCACTGCTAGGGATAGCCATGGAACAGGGAGACAGAAGTGGTGAGCAAAGCACTGCTGCTTTCTGTCCCTGTGCTGGGTACACTGCTCCTGGCTAGGGAAGTGGTAGGCCATAGGACAGCGAGTGGGATGGGCTTTTGAAGAGGGCTGGCAGCTGCAGACAAAGCCTGGAGCACCCCCCACAGTGGCAGCAGGGACCCATTGCAGGGCCCTGGGAAGCAGGAGCAGATGGGCAGCAAATCTTCTCCCACTTCCCTGCATGTATGGATGCTTTCCTGGCACCATTTACTTGTGAACAATTTACTTGTGAGTAAACTGGTGCCACAGCAAATGCACATGTAGATGTGTCTAGTGTTAACCTACCTCTCTGGATGTCAGTATGGCAGCTGCAATGACATGGTTCATTCTACCTTATTCATGATAACTGACCAGATGCTGTAATACATTATTGTATTCTACTTCAAGAAATACCTCAATATTAAATGCAATATTGATTTTAGTGATGCAAGTTATAAAATGCATGTGAAATCAACAAATAAATTCAACTGCATAGACACTAAAGTTCCTGTTTATGGCCCCTCACCATCTCTGAGTCTTTTATTTTACATTATAGCTACCTATCAAAAATCCAGGTTTGCCTGGGACACTCCCAGTTTGAGAAAAGCAGTTTTGGGGTATGTGTAGATGTTACATTTAGATCGATGTAAGTAGGAGTGGGCTCAATTTAAATTAGTTCACCTGAGGTAACAGGTTAGCTCGATCTAGTGAATGTCTGCACACTTTTTGAGTGCAGCCCTAGGGCTGTGGTCCCGCCCCAGCCCCTCGTCACCGGACTGGACTATTTTTAGCTCCCCAGCCACCCCATCGTGAGATGGGCAATGCCACCATTGGACCCCTTGGGCTCAGCAAACCCCACCATGGATCTGTTCACCCCTTCTGATCCTGCCTGTGCTTCTCCTCACCCCGAGTTATTTACACTGGGGTCTTGGCATGGCTCCCAGCACTGGCAAACATGCATGAGCTGCTCCCAGCATCAAGCCACATGACCATAGATTGAGTGCAGTGAATTGAGTTGCTCTTTATTATGGCATGTACCCTTTCTGTCTGCATGCATTTTGAAACAGGGATTTTCTCTCATTTTAAAATTTCTATTTTAGGAAAATATCTGCTATTTTATCATGGTGCCAGGCAACACTGTAGTAAAATAGGCCATGGTAACTTCTGGCACACCATTATTTTCTAAACTGGAAGAGATGTAACCAGGGTATGCCTACCCATAACCTCCTCTGAGAGACAGAGCTCTCTGGCTCATTAACAATACTAAGTACCACTTCTCTTTAGAAGCCCAAATGAACTGAAAGAAGGTAATTGCACTAAATCATCTTCACAACAGTGGCCACACTACTTCTTATCTGAACAGGCTCCTGAGCTAGAAGTAGTGTGATTGCCAGTGAAGCACTGCACATGTATGAATATTGTCACCATACTGGAGCAGTAGTGCCCTGATTCAAGGTGCCATAAT